CTTGACTATTTTGGGTGCTTTTTGCAGTGAGTCTTTTCTTGGGTGTATGAAATGTGCTCAGTGGGGTTCAGAGCAGGTGATTGACTTGGCCATTCAAGAACTTTTCAGCCCTGAAAAACCATGTAGTTGCTTTGGTACTATGTTTCGGTTTGTTGTCCTGTTAAAGGGTGAAACCACTGTTTTAAGGTATTTGTGTGGGTCTGAGCAGTCAAGATGCTTCTGTTTGCTTCAGAATTCATCCAGCACTCATACCATGTCCATGTCTTTGTGTTTCTGAAATGAGGTGGTTTGCAGTGGATCATAGTAAGTTCCTTTTTTTCTCCATACTTTCTTCATTCTATTATTCTGAGTTTTGTTGTGGTGGTCTGTGACTGTGTCTTGTAGTTTACTGATCTGTTCCACACTATTTGTTTGTGATTGAAAGTGTTCTTTGATCACCTTCTGTGGTCTTGAGTGGTCTACCAGGTTTCTAAGCTTAACTAATTGTTGTTGTTGTTCTTGCTTTTGAATAATTGTTACTAATGTTTGGCTGTTTCTATGGTTGGGATTGATTTAATTGAGCATTTTCAGGCTCGTGTTGGTCTATTCTTTAGCGTTTTCACTATTTTGGTCCTCATGTTGAGAGACAACAGCAGCAGACTCAGGGTGAAAATGACACTTTTTGAATCAACACCAAAACTTCTGTTAGCTATCTTATTCATAGTGTTTAATTATGTCATTAAGAAGACCACGTTGCCATGTTGGTAGGTTAATGGTTGGTAAGCTGTAACTCTTACTGTGCTCTGATAGAGCCCATCTCTGCAGCTATAACCCTGCAGGTGGATAAAAACCAAGCAAAATAGACCAAAATGGCCACTAAAAAGATTTAAAGACATGTAGATGCGTCTCCAGAAAATGCTATGACAAGATCAGCTAGATTGGTGGACTGGATCTGTATAACCTGCACATCCTGAGAGTTCAGAACATTCCAGTCTGTGATGTTTTACAAAAACTAGTAATAGTTTAAATTAAAGCTCTTAAATAATAAACTCATACATGTATATCAAGCTCAAGTCAGCTTCTTATTCGCCAGCTTCTCACTCAAATTTTCCAATCCACCTTAAATGGTGCTGCAGTTACACTGAGGTGCCTTAAACGCAGAACGAATTTTGAAAGTTAGTGAATACAAAGCTAACATTGGCTTACCTCAATAAATGCATTAATTTACCTTAATAAACAATCCTTAATCAACAAATTCCATCAGATTTTTGCTTGGAGATGTTTAACTGTTACTGAGCAACTAATGTGTAGCACAGTAAAGCTGTAATCAGCCACTGGAGCTGTTGAACGCATCTCACAGGCTGGTCTAACGCTGCATCCCAAAACACACACTTCTGTACTTCAGCTACTACACTAATGAGTGCACTTCTTATGGTATATACACTATTTTTTGCATGCTATTTAGTGTGCTAGTGTGTGGTTTGGAACACAAAAATAATAACTCAGCAGGAAATATCAGTCATTTAGATTACAGCTTTCATTTGTCATCATTACAACCACAAATCAAATGAAACCAAGATAGTACACTCAAATAGTGTTTTAAAATTTTAAAACAGTTTAAAAATGTGTTTTATTACCTTTGCTGGAAGGTTATGGCTTTGTTATCCTATTACAAACAGCCACAGCACTGCTGAATAAACTTAAAGTTGCCATCCAAAATGGTGGCAGAGCGATTGTGACGTCATCGTCAATACATGAACTAATGATGTAGTAACACTCAACCAAGCAGTCAGTGGTTCATTCTCTGTACATAGAAATACTCTAATATCAAAGCTGACGTTCTGTATTTTAACCCTCAATAGCCATTCATTCATTTCAAACTTATATTGTAATGGCTGATAGCACTGAGAGCTCTTGTTTTTCAGAGATGTCCATCAGCCACATGGACACTTTGGTCTTGGCCTCTGACCAGTCAGTCACTGTTGCTTCCGTCCAACCAGAATGTGCCCTTAAATGATTTCTGGCTACATTCCTACACTTCTAGGTCTAATTGGTCTCTTCCACAGAATGACCCTGAAGGACACCTTTACAAAGAAGAGTTTATTTAGGTGTATATAGAAGTGCATCTCTGCTCAGTCAGATGATTAGTTTGAGTGCCTTAGTTGTATTTTGTGGCTAAATTGAGAAAACAACATTAACATGATAGAATAGTGTAATGAGTAATATTAGTCATTGTAGCAGCTAATTGTTTGTGTGGGGGGGGAAATAAGGAAATGATTCAATGCATCATGAAAGCACAAAATGTCAACATGACTGAATTAATTTAGTATGATTCAGAATTATTTTTAAGTACAATAGTTCAATAACGGATATGAGTACGAGTGCAGGCACAGTGCAACATGTGTTTTGATGTTACCAAAACTGTGCATAGCTCTGCCCACTAACTGTTCGCTAATGAGGCACATAGAAATAATGTAGAGAACTGACACAAAACCTGAAGCTGCATGTTGCTCATACTTTACCATAGAGGTGGGTGATATGGCAGAAATATAATATTGCAGTAGTTCAAGAAACTGTCATGATACACGTCACAATGTTTATTTTTTCAAACATCTGATCAGTTGGAACAGAGACAAAAAAACAGTAGTGCTACTTTTGAATAAAATGCTATAAAGAACTGTGAATGAAATTAATTTTTTGGTATTTGGTATACTGTGTTGCACTCAATCTAATCAAATGGGGCTCATTTTGCTCTCTTCATAATAAAACATGCAGTTGGTCAGTTTTCTACAAGTACTGACAATATACGCAATATGTTCAGAAAGGCATATTGTATTGTGACATTAATTTATCATGATAACTGTATATATTGTCATATTGTCCAGCTACTTTAGTAAATCGAGTATAAAATGTAATCAGCTGTACATGTGATTTCTCCACTCGCTTTTTGCGCAATCCTCCTACGTTTTGCTTAGTCCTCCCTTGGATGCGTATGCATGAGGAAGAGTACCACATTTTGTATTTAATCAAGCACACGGCATATAACATCAATGTTAAGGCTCATTATCCAGTTTCATGAAATGTGTCCAGTTTGCAACTGAAACTGGTGCAAAAGGCTTTGTACATCAGACCCTGTGTATGCAGATGTAATTTACACAGCAGTGGAATATAGTGAATAAAACCAATACACCAAGCTTTTTTTTGCACATGGAAATGACCCACGAATTTTATTTTGGCAAAAAACTTAGCACATATTTTATTGAATATTATTCTAACCAATTATAATAGATGCTAATATTCCAAACTTGGTGTAGCTGAATTGCTGCCTTCAGGTCAGATTTGCTTGTTTACTTATTTAATTGCTAGTTCATGCATATATAGAGACAGAATACCAAGCCACCTAATTTTGCTGTTGCTCTCAATAGGTTCCCCTTAAAGGTTATGGAATTCACATTAAAAAAGATCTCCAGGTTTTATAAGTGCGTGTTCACATTAAACAGACCATTAAACAGAACAAGCTCCTCAGTCTTGTCAAAGACAGACAGACCTGAGACCAAGTGGCAGCTTTGCCACACCTACTTGATCAAGAGTGAGAACATGGATGGTAAAGAAATGGCGCACAGCCAGAGGTGTAGAGTTCGGAACGGGTGAAAGCTGCCTCATTCTTGGAAGTGGAAGTGTCTATTACGTGAAGTAGCATGTTGATCATATATAGTAGTATCCTCCCTTGCATGTTATTGACAGTAGTAGATGGTGTTAGTGAAAAGTGATGCTGGCCTTGGTGGCTGCAGTTGAGGGGCTATAAATGGGTAATAAGTATGTGTACATTTTGACAAAAGGTCTGTGTGTAATGGATCAATCCCATACACTACAAATTCCCAATCTGGCTATAGATTTTCTGCCATTTCACCGAATGATATAGATGCATCTGAACTATTTGCCATTTTCCCATCAGCGTGCTGCAGTAGAAGATTACTGCCCAATTCAATAGCACCTTAAACAAGAGATCACTCAGCGGTTCCCTAATGTATTTTCATTCTTTTTTTTTTTTCTTTTGCCCTCACAGCACTTTTGTCCAATACAGTAATTTGTTTTTTGACAGTAAGGTGGAGTGGAGCAGCAGCTGGCGGCTGAGGGGGAATGAGGAGTGCCGCAGTGATGGCAGCCTTCACTATCCGGGCGTGTTTTTATTAATCAGAATCAACTTAGCTGTCTGGGCCTCAATTCTGCTACACTCATATTCATCAAGTGTACTTCCACTTCAAAGCGTTCAGACCACTTTAGGATCTGAACAGGTTTAGTTACACAAACACGGTGTGTGTGTGTGTGTGTGTGTGTTTCTGTGTGTGCGTCCATGCTGGTACTTTGTCTAGCTTCACTCTCATTTTAAAGGAGAGTTGTTGAACGCTTTCACGCCAGGAAATAGCAGGTGGTGCCTGTATTGGAAAATGTGGGCCCCCAAATTAAGTCTATTCTCAACATGAAAGGACGATGTGGATACCACCTGCTTCTCCATACTCCAGGACGGTCTCTGCAGTGATTTATGAATTCTCCAGACTTATTTGGAGAGCTGCTTCCATCCCTGGAGGACCAAAGTGCTGATACTATCGTAGTGGACTAAACATTAGTGAATTGTATAATTAATCTTCACCCTCCTCTACTGCCAATGGCTTCGAGTGATCAGATTGAATTTCTCTCTGGTGGAATTCACTTTTCTAGGAGGTGTGACTGTGGAAGCTGACGAGTGCTGGAATAGTTGCCTGCGAAATCATTAATAAGCAATCTCATTATCTACAATATGCTGTTTTGTCAATAATCTAATAGGATTTGCTGGATTTAATCAAAGCAAAGTGAAACCACATGGTTGTGTGTTTATTCATACATGCCTCTTAGGAATCATTTGTTTCTGTGCAAATGTTAAGCGATTCCTTTTGGGTTACAGTGCTTTATTTAGTGTTGCAAAGATCTGTTACGATGATGCCTGATCATGTTCTGATTGCATGGCGTTTTTCTTTTCGCAGTTCCGTCTTTCTGGGGGCTGGTGAATTCAGCCTGGAATCTGTGTTCAGTGGGGAAGAGGCAGTCTCCAGTGAATATTGAGACCAGCCATATGATATTTGACCCCTTTCTGACACCACTGAGGCTCAACACCGGGGGCAGGAAGGTAAGCAGAATTTTTACTGTCTGCTCGCTGCTACAGTGGGGCTCCTTTGCCAAAAGGAACGTGTTTGCACTTCAAAGTGTTGAGTTCTTCAAGCCGTGCTTTTGTTAGTTCTAGGCTGAACTATGATAATGTATTCTTGGCTAAACGCCTTGCTGTGCTCTAAAACAAGCTTGTTTTAGGATGTACTTGACAAAGTACTCAGCGATTCACTAAAACCCTTCAAAATATTGCTCATATCCTGCTTTCTGATCAAATTTGATCAAATTTTAATAGTCGACAACTTCAGTACTTAAATGACCTGCCTCCTCAAATCTCAATGTTTGGGCTTGCTGTCAGCCCCTAGATTAGTGGAAAAAAGTTCTGCTGCAGAGCTTTCTGCAGACACACATCTACATGATGAGTATGAGGCAACATCACTCACTACATTTAAATATAGACTGAAAACATGTTTGTCAAATAAGACAATATAAAATGTTTTTTTGCTTTCACATGAGTTTTAATGAGTTCTTGAACTTATTTCTCTTTATTCTTATTACTGCTTTCTGTGTCTTTTAATCTAGTTGACAGTTGGTGTCGGTATTTCTCTGCTCTTTTTGTCTTTCCATATATACTTTGTCATCTTTACATTTTATTGAATCTACTTTATTCGATATGTTAAAAAAAGACATCAGTGTATATTAACTGTTATGACGGCTGTGGGTGAACTATTGAGAGAAAATCTTTCATTACAACAGCACACTATTGGAATAGATTTTATAACAGCTACTTATAATAGATAAACTTTGTATATCATGATTTCAGATAAATCAGTTTCAAGAAGTTAGAAAGTTTTCCATCTTGTATTTTTATTCATTCTGCTTGATGAAGCAGGGCATTCTCAAAGTAGCACATTTAGCGCCAAAGTTTACTCATTAATTGACCATTTGCAAATACCTGCCTCCCTTAGTTACTGTTGCTATTAAGTGGAAACAAGTTTCTGACTTTTTGGTAGGAAAAATCCATTTCAACATCATTTCAGTGTCTCACTCGGAAAGTCTGACTTTCTCAAGAGCTCCGACTTCTCCAAGTTTCTGATTTGTGACGTTATTTCAGTGAGGAAGCACCCGAAGAACAAGAAATAGCTTTGTGAACAGACTTTTGAGTGTCTGTTTGTGTATAATAAGCTGTTTGTGTATATTATCCATAAGCACGTGGGGATGTGTGGATAAGAATAAGGTTAAGACATTATGTACAAGATTTTTGATCAAACTGCTTGTTGTCGTGTCAATTTTTGACGTTTATATTAATGGTGAATTGCAATAGCTGACATCCATCCATCCAACCAAACAGCTCTTTAATTCATCTGTAAACGTTTTTAAGGACCTTTTATTTACAGCAGCCAAACAGCTTAAGTGGCATAAACGCTTTTAAGTGGGAAGAGATTCTGAATTGGAAGATTCTGAGCTACCAGCTGTCTTGAACGCATCACGTGTCCATCTAACTTTCAGCTTAGGCGACATGGTAGCATTCATAGCACTTGTATTAACACTCTTAACATTTAGTAGCAGAAAGAAAAAATTACAATAACTGAAACACATTTGAAACATTTTATTATTTCAAGCTCCTGGTTGTCATAAACACAGCATATGTCCATCTAACTTACAGCTTAGACCTCCTGATAGAATCCGTAGCATTTGTGCTAACATGTTGAACATTCAGTGGCTCAAGCTAACACTAAAACTAACATCGGAGCAAAGAAACATTAAAAAAATTCTTCTCTAATGTTATTTGTTAGTTATGATATTAAGATAAGTATTTGGAAAATCAGTAGCCTAAATAAAGTTAAGCTTATCCTTAAAGCCTGTTAATAGTTTTGCTGTTGAGCTGTGTTTAATCTCAAACTTTCACTGTTCTCACCACAATTCAGGACACAGCAAACGACGTTCCTCAGCAACATCTCTTAACTGACTAATTTACTGTTACTGTACTGAGGCATGTCAATCATTATTTTACCAATGGGCAGTGAGAGAGAAAAAGAGAGAGAGATTTGCAAAATCCTGTAATGTCACTCCTTAGCGGTCAGTATGATGATGATATTGGACAGCGGAGCATTAAGATGGGCAGGCCTGTGGCAGGCTTTGAAATTAAGCTGCGTTTTTGTAGGCATTTTACCGGACTATTCAGGATGTACATCACTTCTCTTCTAACACGTTAACAGCAGGTCAGAGGAGGGCCAGCTTTGGGTCGTGTAAGTGGCAGCGGTAGTGAGAGAGGCCAGACAGGTTCAGCTCAGCCAAATAGCACAGAGCAAGAGAAAGAGGACAATAACCCACCACATGGAATGTTGGTCAGAGTGGAAGAGATGTTGACAGAGGTAATCTTACCAAATACAAGAACTGTTTTAACAGAAAGGTTATTATATTACACATCACATCATGCAGATGTAGAGGACTGTGCAAAAGTCAGAGACCACTGCAAATATACTTAATTTTCAGGCATTAAGTACTCAGCAATTAAATATAATATCAGTTTTTTTCAGTATTTTATTATGTCCACGCTTTGCCTTTATTCCAGCTTCTGTTTTTTTTTAAGAGACAGATATTCTTCCACACCCCCAAATTCAGTCCTAGAATTTGGTTGTATTTTGTGCTTCTCATGATCCAAGTAATCCCAAACACATTCAACAGTGTTGAGGTCTGGATTCTGGGGCGGTCTGGATTCTGGGGCGGTCAGTCCATCGTTCTGAAATCACTAGCAGCTTCTTTATTTGATTTGCAAATGTTCTTGCTTGGCTATTTTGTTTTCTCAGTAACAGCTTCCTAACAGATACACATCTTTTCAACCCACCGTGTTGTTTTTTCACAGTGAAAGGTTGGAGAGAAACACCTGTGCATTTTTCAGATCTGAAGCAAGAGTGGAGCTCATTTTTCTCCTATTTTTATCAAAGATGAAAGCGTTAAGTACTGTTTATCTGATGGTGATAGTTTTGGTGGTCTACCAGGTCTTGCTTGGTTGTTAGGGGTCGCATTTTATCTTTTAATCTTTTTTTTTTTTGTATTTCTTTTTTGGAAACTCTTGTTTTTCACTTATTTTGCTTAGACTTTCCCCTTTTGCAAGCAGGCTTTCTTATCTAATCTCTTCAGAGATATCTCCTGAAAAATGAATCCACTCATATTTAATGGCCATTTTGACTGGAAATGGAATAAATGAAGGGTGTTCTGTGACATTTGCACAGTTCTGTAGATGATGCATAATAATAAGTAGTCTGTTTTTGAAGTTCTTGCCAATTCAGAAACAGCATTATTGTTCTTTTCACAGCAAATAATATGTGCAAGACATTTCTAAAGCAGACCTAATCAGCTGGACAGTATCTTTCTGTGCTACACCCTGTTGAAAATAAGTCTGCTTTATGCAGCCTTTAGACATTGTTTGTCATAAGGAAGCAGGATTATAGCTGAAGAGAATGAAATATTTCCAGACATTGTCCTTGGCCGGAAACCGACATGTGTTTTTCATGAGTGTGCTCTACATAGTCACCCCTCCATCTTGTGTTTTACGTGTAGGAGTCGCTCAAATCATTTTCACACACTAATTTGCCAGCTTCAAGATGCCTGACGCTCAGCTGAACAAAGCCTGCTTCTGTTCACAATACGTGCTTAACCTTCCCTCACAAGAGTTTACATGACTAGACGTTTTCATGATTTATAAATAGACTGAAATCCTCCCCAATATGGCTTTTCTTTTTCTTTTTTTCCTTTTGGCTGAACTGTACTTGGGACTAATGAATAGTTAAAGCAAATTAAAATGACCTTTGTATAGAAATGCTAATTAATCAAGAGAAGACATGCATCAAGGTTATGTGCAGTGGGTTGAAGGAATCACAGTTATTAAATTGTCGGTATTAATTGAATATTTGCTCTGCTGTAGATGAGCTGCAATTACTTGAAGGGCTTCTAATGAATTTAATCACTCTGGCTGGGGAGAAAGCCAGCAGGTTCGTATCACCTTTCAGCAGTCCTGCAGCAGCAAAGTGGAAGATTTGAGGCCCAAATATGAGAATGTCATTAGTTTCAGTGAACTGTCCGTTGTGTGAAATGCCTACGTTAATGTAATGAGTCCTAGGTGCACTGTAAGGTGTTTAGTGTTGGTACTTTAGTCATGGCATATAGCGTCATATTCTCCTAACAGGGTGTTTACTGCCTTGGAATCAGACTTAATCATGCTCTGATTATGTATGCATAACCATTCCTTTTGGTCCAACCGTGCTAATGCCTAGATGCAATCTTTGAGTAGATCTCATTTAGTCGTTTGAATATATTATCAGATTTGGGTGCTCTGTCATTGAATCAGTCCTGATATTGGCATTTATTGACTTGTGTTGCTGACAGCTTATATAAATAATCAAGATTAGACTGACTGCTTGAATGTACAGGTTGTTTGTGTCTGTTTACAGCATTCTTTTCAACAAATCTAATTAATTTTAAAGCTTCGTTCCAGTGCTCCTGATCCTAGTGCAGTTTCAAGTAACGGATTCAGAATGTATAATGCCATCCCATCATTGCTGCCATATCAATAAAAAAATAAATAAATAAATAATATATATAATAATTATGTTTGGAATGCTAGCTGGCTTTCACATTGTGTAAACATTTAGTGACAGACCAGTAGAAAGGTTTCAAAATCACTTTAATATGCGTTAAAGTTAATATTTTTTTCTTGGGATGTTTAAAAGTGAGTTTCCGTCCCATGGGGTATGTGGACTTATACTCTTCCAAAGCCAAAAACAAATTTTAAAATGGTACTGTCATCAGTTCTCTTAAAATTTGGTACTTACAGTGCTCTTTTACTAAAAAAGCTGAACTGGTGACAATGTCAGAGCAAATGTACACTGTTACTACACCAATAAGACATCACAGGTAAGACATAAATGGACCACAAGTATTTTTGCTGCTGTGGCAGTATTTTTGCAATGATTAAATTTCGTAAGTTTATTGTGTTGTTTATGTCAGCTGTCTGATTTT